TCTGCCTGCTGCCTGCCGCGTGTCCTGCCCTGTCCCTGCTGCCTGCCCTATCCGCCCTGCTGCCTGCCGTGTGTCCTGCCCTGTCCCTGCTGCCTGCCCTATCTGCCTGCTGCCTCGCTCTGCCCGGGAGCGGGCGCTGCCCTCCCTGCCCTCCCTGCTGCCTGCCGTGCTGCCTGGGCACAGCCCTTTCCCTCTCCGCCTGCCCGCGGGAGCCGGCTGTCAGCCTTAAAGAAGCATGGCAGAGCACCTTCTTCCTCTTTTTTCCCTTTCATTTTAGTTTTTCCACCTCCCTCTGCCGTGTCCCGTGCATCGACAGTGCGGCTCCGCCTGGGAAGTCAGCGGGCGCCCGCCAGCCAGGCACGGAGGCAGCAGGATCGCGGAGCCCAGATGGGTGACGGCTGCGGGAGCCAGGCTCCAGGATGGAAGGGTTGCTTCTCCCACTCTAGCAGGAACCTGTAGCTGGACAGCCCCTCGGAGTGAAGCTGGAAAGCTCACCCCCGTCGGGTGCTGTGGCTTATCCTGCCAGCTGTCATACAAATGGGAAGGTCTCACCGACCTGGTTTTGCTTCTACTTTACAAAGAATCCTACGAATGTTTTTCATACACTCTTCCATCCCCTAAACGGTATCATTATTAGTGTGACATTGGGACAGGTTGAAGGGAAGGATACCAGAAGCACTGAGCAGTCTTACCAGATGCCCAAACTCAACAGCAAACCTCAGATTTATCACCTCCCAAAGCCAAAGCAAGAAGTGTGCCAGTAAGCTGTACAGAGAGGGAAATGAGAAAGAAAAGGAACACTTCAGTTGTCCTGTCAAATCCTTCTCTCAGACTACATAGGGGTAACTAATATCTGTGATCCAAGGATTCAGTATCAAGCTGTAAAATACTGTTTTAATTTTGGGGTCTGAGTTTGGAACACTGTAATAAAAGCGGAGCAGGGAAAGAATGGGGAAGGTAATGAGCACTCTTTGAAAGAGCTGCACCAGAGCCCTCCCCCATAGCCATTTCTGTTCCAAACACCTGGAAGATGGACACCTCCATATGCTTCCAGCACCATCACTCTGCTAGACATGCAGAATGCTCATGTCACAGCTTTGAACAGAAGCGTGCAGCCTGCGAGCAATCATACTGTCATCCTGCCCCTCCAGACAGCCTCTGCGGTGCAGTGCAGGCTAAAGCTGCCTAGGGACTTCTTGTTTCAAAAGGATAACAAAAAACTGCAGCTGACTTTTCCCTTGCAACCCCTTCCTTCCTCTCTCCCACTCTCACTTCTCTGTAAGTCTGGGGCTAGAAGCACGCCTAATAATCTAGAGAGATGAGAGAGAGAGAGAGAGAGGAGATAGATAGATAGATAGATAGATAGATAGATAGATAGATAGATAGATAGATAGATAATAGATATTGCTCTCTTTGCATAGAACAAACTTGCTATAGACTGTGTGGAGCATACTGCTGATCATTGCAATAACTTGCTGTTTAACCCAGCACAGTTACTCTTATTTTAGATATGAAATTGCCAGGTTATTATGGAGTAGAAGAAGCAAAGTCCACCAGGTTTCAGTAGGTCATATTCCTGGAGAAGACATAATTTCTTCAGGAAGGAGCAATTCAACTCTATGTATAACTCGATTCAGTTTACTCAAGTTCAAGCCTTTCACATTAGAGTGACAAGGCAGTCCTAGGAGAATAATCATTCCTTCATCTGGTCAAATAGAAGAAGTTCCTCCTAGTCTTTCTCATCCAGATTCTTCTACCTTTTCTAGAGGAGCATTGTGGAGGCGCTCCTGGCTTCACTGGACTCACAAGCATCTTTACTTCATCCCATTGAAATGTCCTCACCCTGTGAATTCAGCAAGGTCTCCTATAAATGGCCTGATCTGTGTGACATCGATTTGAATTGTTGAGAAGACTCTTGAGGCAAAGCTCTTAAGGATGGATGAACCTGTTCACTGAAGGTTCAGACTGTTCCAAGGTCTCATTGACTTAACTGAGGGCTTCTTTCTTTGCCCTTCAGCTGACCTCCTTAGCCAGAGGCCACTGGGACAAACTTTCTAAATACAATAGAACTGAGATTTCCTTCAGAAATGCTGCTTGGATGGCTCCTTCTCTCCACTGTCATTCCAGAAGAAAGGAGCAAGAAGTATATACGAGTCTGGATTAAGCATTTTTATTATTAAAGAAAAAAAATGCAAAGTCCAAAGTATTCCACTTGTGAACATGTGATACTTTTTCAAAGGGAATAAAATTATAAAATGCATATAAAAATCTGACATTTAAGATTTTTGGATACAATCATTTGACTTTCATCTGATTCTGTAATATTGGTGCAGCAGCTTAAACTGAATATTAGATTTTTGCAGTGAATAAGTGAATTTTAATTTCAACCATTTGGATGTTGTTTGCAATTTTTACAATAAGATCCTCATCAAAGCAGTATCAGCTAGTGAGGTTTTAAATTATCACAATTCTGGGCTTAGTAACGGAGTTTGAAAAAGGCTTTAGAATGTAATTGGACTATTTTAAAAGATTGGAAATGAATTCTAGCCTTTAGGTATCTTCCCTGTTTCTGCAAAGATAGCATCCTTGCTTGAAGAACTGAAAGGGTCACAAGCAGAAAATCCAAAGACAATGGCAAGTGATTAATAACTGTTACATGTTCCAATGGAAGATGGGCACATGGTTTAATTGTTTGAGGCTCTAGAAGAAAATACAATGCTCTAATGATAAATATCAAATGATTGTGCTAAATTTACTGCACAATGTAGCTAACCTGTCTAAATATGGACAGTTATTTATGAAATAGTAAATAGAACTGAATCCCATGGAATCCTATTCATAGAGGCCACATCTCTTATTTTGGAAACAAACTGGGAAAAAAAGCAAAGCAAAGAAGGCAAAGGTGGGCCAGAGAACAATGAAATCTATTTAAAATGGGAAGAAGTGAAGGAATAAGAAGAGAAAGTCTGGTTAATTGGTGTCTGGCAATATGAAGAATATTTCAGTAAGATTATTTACATGAGTGCTATGAAGTGTCCAGCCTGTAAACTGTATAGTACATATGTAGGGCATATGTAATTCTGCTATCTTATCTATATGCAAGTTGAAGTACTACTGAATTCAGCTGGAGTTGCATATGCACCACAATGACAGATTATGGCCTCCACAGCTTTTCTATATTTGTACTGTACAGTGTGTGGGCCAGATGCCTCATATCACTCATGTAAATAATCTTATTGAAATGTTCTTCATATTGCCAACCATTAACTCATCAGACCTTCTCTTCTTATCCCTTCCCCTCTTCACATTTTAAATAGATTTCTTTTGTTTCAAGGAAATCTTCATGTTTGAAGAGAGCATTTTTATGGTTGGTATAAATACTACAAACAGAGTCCCTTTTATTTCCATTTTTCAAGGTCAGAATATGACTGTATGTACTACTGCTATTTCTAAATATAAAAATATCTCTGTGAGACTTTTATTTTTATTACATTGATTTTTGCCTACTTACAGTCAAAGGCACACCACAAAGTGATATTTCTCTGTATCCCATATGGAAAAATACAGGAATACTCCAACCCCTTCAAGAGAAGTGCCTTGTATTCATGGTGTTCTTAACTATTTCCCCTGACACTATACCGTGAGGATTCACACCATACTGGAGTGTGATGTGATGTTCAGCATCAAAGACAAAAAGGTAATGTAGAAACTGTAGCTGTGTCTGGACCACTCAGTGCTTCTGTGATACAAACATGAGTAAGCCTACAGGCTTCATGGGACTTATTGCAGGTGACGCTCAGTGTGCACATATATACTCAGGATTTTACCAAAAAAATACTTGAGATGAGGTAAGATATAAATTATAATCTATACGAATAAAACTTACAGCCAAGTTTATCTATGGGATTTTCCCAATAAAAAAGGCCTTAAAATCAAGGAAGAAAAAAAAACAATAAATTAAAAAAGAAAAAGCCGTTGAAAATCCATTGCATAGGGAGCTTCTTTTTTAACATAATATTTATAATAGAGATTTTTATTTGTATTCCACATTTATTTTATCCATTAGATTTAGAAAATTTTCCACAGTGGGAATACAGGAAATAGAAGTGTTTAAATAATAGCTATAAAAAGTGGAGAAAAAGAACTTAAAGTAAGAAAAGAGTCTGCACTAAGTCTGTATATTAAGTCCAGAAAATACCACAACTTGGGTGAGTTTCCAGAAGACATAATTAGATTTCAAAAAGAATGTAGGACTAAGTGAATTGCTTAATTAAAATCCAATTATTAGAATATTTCATGATGACCACTCTAGGGATTATTAGCTGACAGCAACACTTGTTGGAATAATAAAACTTGATAACAAAAGTTTTATTAAAATTTCTATGTCTATGAGTATGGGTTTTAATTGCAAAATAACACAATGTATATCATGTCAGCTGGGAAGGCTTTAAACAAGAGAG